TGTCAAAAGACGGTAGGTAGAGCACGGAAGAGGTTGGGTCGTGCCATATGAGAAAATAAGGAAGGGGGTCATATTTCGCAAAAGTTTTTCTTTACGAAAGGATAGGTCATCTTTGTTACAGTGCGCGGTGCCGCGAAACGGATCTCTTGAACTACTTTCGTCTCTCAGTAGAGGCTTTTTCCTTGCTGGAACTAAACTTCAACCGACTCCGAAAAAATAAAAGGCTGAAATTTTGCTCCCGGAACGTGGGTGTGCAGTTGGTGCCACTTACCACACCCCCCCCCCACCTTCCCACTCAGGAAGAACTCCAAAACTATGCATATAATTCGAAAGTTTAGGTGAGAAGATGGGTCTGACGATGAACGTGTTGCTGTCAATCGTTGTGTTCTTGCTGCTGGTCTCAAAGATTCTTCCACCAACATCGTTGTCAATTCCACTCGTTGCCAAGTATCTGCTGCTCACATTCGTGCTCAACATAATCACTATTCTTATCACAGTTATCATCTGTAACATCTACTTTCGATCTCCAATCACTCATCGTTTGCCGCCATGGGTCCGAAGTGTTTTTCTGGACGTGAGTTTTACTCTATTAAAAATTTCTAGTACCTATTATACAATCATAATCCCTTCAAACGATAGGGCATGTGACGGAGCGTGGATTGGAGCCCTGCAAAGGCGGCCTTTAAACCAGTGATGTCATCCTAGGACCGCTACGATTGGCGGGAAGAGCTGTTTTGGCTGCGTTCCACCCACTTTCTTCCCCCCACACATGCCCTATCGTTTGCAGGGACCATGACCATAAATTGATAAAACAACTTTTCAGTGGTTACCGCTGCTAATGTGCATGCAGCGACCGAGACGAAAGAACGTTTTGCATCAGAAGAAGAAGAAATTGGAGAGCAAATCCACCCATGAACTGACCATGCAAAATCACCATCCGCACTGCAGAGCTGCTGACAACGCTCGGTAAGATTCTTGCCTCAGTTCGAGTTCTTCAAGCAGCAACCATGGAGGCAACGCCCGCCATCACCTGCCATAACAGATAGTGGGTGGGGGTTCGCGAGTATACGACAAGATTCTTGGTAACTCGATATTGAAGAAAAAAGTAGAAAAAAATGCCAAATTTCCTGTATATACCATTTTCACTTTCAAATCGGACACTTTTCAAACCAAATCGGACACTTTTCAAACCAAATCGGACACTTTTCAAATCAAATCGGACACACCCCTTACAATTAGGTGGTTGATAACTAGACCACACTAGGTACTGTTGCAAGCCCCGCCCCATTATCCCCGCCCACTTCTCAGCGCGGACAGGGTTTTCCGAGATGCTTCATGAAATCTGCTCCCTCGACTTTTTTTCGTTTTTGCCCTTTGCACACACACTTCAACTGAAAAAGATTGATACCTATACAGATCTGACTCCGCCCACTTAACAATGAAGTTACGTAAGTTCTGAATTTTTATAACTTTTTTCGACGTAGTTCTTTTCACATCCAATCTTCACAAAACGAATAACCATGCACAGCACATCAGGTCCCGCCCCTCTGACCCAGCCCACTTGAGT